CTCGGTCATGCGAGACACATGCCCCGACCTCTCCCTCACCCGTCACATCCGCGATGCTACATGGGAAAATTTAGGCGAAACCCTAGGCAGCGATCACTTTTTACTCCGCATTTCGTTCACACCGCGGCAGAAAATGCGCCAACACTGGAGCCAAGCCCGTCTCACCGATTGGACTCAGTTCAGAATGCAACCATTCCCCGCCGGCCTCTCCTCGACCGAATATGCAGCGTGGGCATTATACGCTCTCCATATGAAACAAGCGAACACTCGCACCCTTGCAACCTCTAATTTGACTCCTGCAATCTATCCACACCTCCTACATCTTTGGCACGCTCGCCGCGGGCTCATAAGGCGCTGGAAACGCAACAAACTTAATCGGAAACTTCGCGCTCGCATTGAGGCGCTCACTGCAGAGGCGGCCGCATACTCCGCAAAACTTTCCGATGCTAACTGGGCAGACACCTGTTCGAAGGCTGCAAACCAGATGAGCTCTAAGAGTGCGTGGCGACTCTTTAGAAGCCTTCTCGATCCCTCCACCACCAGGGGAGAAACGCAACGCCAGCTCCACCGTGTTCTGCATGCCTTTCAGGGCACTACGGATGAACTCGCGCGAGAACTTTGTGACCGCTACATCTGCCGCACAATTGATCCCGCAGGCCCAGCATATACGTATTCCGGCGCCCCTAACACCAACCTCGACGCCCCATACACGCTTTATGATTTACGATTTGCACTCACGAAAATGCGACGGGGCACGGCCCCTGGACGCGACGGAATCACAGTATCGCTCCTGGCAAATCTTCCCGACCAAGCACACCTCTCGCTACTCCACCTTATGAATTCGATATGGGACGGCTCCCCGCTTCCAACGGAATGGACCACATCGGTCGTGACATTCATTCCCAAATCGGCAAAGTCTGTTAGTATTGAGGCACTGAGACCCATCTCACTTACGTCTTGCGCAGGCAAACTCATGGAAACCATGGTTCGCGAACGCCTTTCCGCCTACTTGGAGGCCAGGAGGACCTTTGCCGACACGATGTTTGGCTTTCGCCCGCATCTGTCGGCGCAGGACGTCCTGCTCCAGCTTCAACACGATATCATAGAGCCGACTACTATGCGCCATAACGATAAAGCCGTGCTCGCTCTCGACCTCCGCGGGGCGTTCGACAACGTCAAACACAGCACTATACTCACTAACCTGTCTACCACAAACTGCGGGCAGAAGACTTTCAACTACATTCGCGCCTTTCTATCACATCGCACCGCCTTCATTAGCCTTAATTCTACCGAACACTGCCCGTACTTATTAGGCACGCGGGGTACACCTCAAGGGGCAGTCCTGTCTCCTCTGCTTTTTAACCTGGCGACGATGAACCTCCCCTCTCTTCTAAGCGAGGTCGAGGGAATACAACACGCACTATATGCGGACGATATCACAATCTGGACCAACACCGGCTCCTTAGCGCAAATCGAAGAACGCCTGCAAAAGGCTGCCCTTCTGGTGGACACCTACGCAGGTTCATGCGGCCTGGAGTGCTCTCCAGCTAAATCGGCTCTTCTTTCACTCTCTCCGCTAACACCGCCTCAAATTTTTCTTCCGTCCGGGCCCGTCCCGTCAGTGCAAAATATTCGGGTTCTTGGCCTTCACCTCACATCGTCCTTGGATCCAAAGGGCACAATAGCAGGCCTCAGACGCACCAGCGAACAGGTGAGCCGCATGATACGGCGAGTTTCTACCAAGCGCGGCGGCCTCCGCGGGTCTCAGTCCCTCCGATTGGCCCACGCGTTTGTGACCAGCCGCGTCCTCTACGCCTTGCCTTACCTTCGCCTGCGTCGCCGACACGAGCACCAGCTGGACGTCCTTCTTCGCTCAGTATACAAACGCGCTCTGGACCTACCTATTGCAACTTCTAACAGCCGATTCGCGGCTCTGGGGGTACACAACACCTTTGCAGAGATGCGCGAAGCTCATCGCGTTAACCAAATCAATCGACTGTCGCAGACGCCTTCAGGGCGCCGTCTTCTACACAGACTTGGCCTTAACCCGATATCTGACCAAGACCCTCTGCAGCCGGTACCAGAGCTCTGGCGTCAAAAGCTATGGGTGGAACCTCTACCCCGTAATATGAACCCCGACCTCCATCCTGGCCGTAGACTAGCACGCGCCGCGGCCCTTCATACGCGACACTCCGATCGTCCTGGTGTTTTCTACGTGGACGTCTCGGGTCCCTCCCCCTCGGGTCACTTCACGGCTGCCGTGATTACAGAGGGCAAACACGTAGATGGCCTCTCCTTTCGAGCAGACACAGTAACGCACGCTGAAGAGGTTGCCATAGCTTTGGCCGCCTCTCACCCTGCCTCACGCACCATCCTGACGGACTCGCGCTCGGCCTGTTCTCAGTACCTTCAGGGTTCCATTGCCCCGCTGGCAGCTAGCCTACTACAGGCAGCCTCTTGGCGCTTTAACCCTCATCCCATTCGTATAGTCTGGACCCCAGGCCACTCGGGCCTGCCCGGCAACGAGGCGGCAAATGCCGCTGCCCGCGCTTCTCCTGTCCGGGCCGTTGCCCCTCCCTGTCCCGAGACGGAATCTGGCAATACCAACCTGACGCGCTTTCGCGAAATTTTGGCTTATTACCGGGCTTCGCGCCGCCTCTACCCGCACCCCGCACGCGGTTTGGAGAAAGCGGACGAACGACTGCTACGCCGCCTGCAGACGAACACCTTTATCAGTCCGGCGGTCGCCAGGCACTTTTTGCCGGAAATCAATGGCACCTGCTCGACCTGTCATGTCCTCGCCGACACATATCACGTCGTAGCATCGTGCCCAGTTAATCCCGTCCCTTTTTCATCCCCTTTTCCTATCCCAACTAGAGAGGCTTGGGAGGAGCACCTGCTCGGCTGCTCTACCTTGGCTGCACAACGCTCCTTGGTGGAGCGCGCACGGGCAGCTTCCAGCTCCACTGGCGTCCCGGAATAGGGTCTTGCCACTCTAGCACGCCGATGGGCCACGTCGGCACTCTCTAGTAGACTTTTTCTGAAATAAATGTTTTTTACCACCACCACCACCACCACCACCTCAAATATCATGAGTCTTGAAACCAACTACGCATTGTTTAGCGCAGCTTGCATTTTTCAGCATGTGCAGATAGATAGCATCACACCGCTTCTTCAAGTGGCTACAAAATTCTCTTATTGTGTTGCTGTGTGTTGTGGGCTCGTTTGTATGGTTTATATTGTTATTTTTTACTTTGAAGTTAACTTGTAATTTCATTTTTCAGCAGCTTTCACACATCGAAGTCCTATAAACTAATCGCTTTTTATTGCAACTCCATAGTGCCCACCTATATAGAGCAGGAGCTCGGGAGAAGATGGGGCTTGAAATGATGAAAGATCCTTGAACTTGTCTTCAATGCAGCAACTGAAGAAGACGAAGACCTCTTGTAGAAACAAGCGTTGGCTCGAGTGATGCCAACCTGTTCGAGTACTTTCCGCCTATATGCGAAATATGAACCATGTGATCGCTTTACGACAGTTCGGCATGTAGATGGTTACCTTTCAGACCCGCCATGGTGGGCTACTGGTTATGGTGCTCAAATGGTGACCCGCAGGTTGCGGGATCGAATCCCGGCCGCGGGTGCCGCATTAACGGTGCACGGAGGTGAAAACGCACGAGGCCGATATACTACGATTTAGAAACACGGTAAAGGACCCCAAGCGGTCAACATTTTCAGAGAAATCCACTACTGCGTCTCTCATACTGATATCATGGTTTTGGGATGCGAAATACCTACAGCTTCATAGTAGTGAGTTTTTTTCCCCTTTTCCCGTTCATTTACCGCATGTGTAACAACTTTACTTTTTCCCACCTTTCTCTCTTTCTCTTGGCAGTGTGTAAGTGCGCTGTACCAACGCCGACTAAATTTCAAGGCCGAAAGGCTGCCGCAGTGACGTCAGAGGGTGGGGGCCTAGTTACGCCGCGAACGCGGCGGAAAGCCTGTGTTTCGTTCACGTTTTAGGGGAACCAACGCTCCCGCTCTCGCAGCTGCTGCGGCTTGATTGGGCCGAATAAAAGATGTGGAATAAAAAGTCTTACTGAGCATGCTCAGTTGGGCAACTAGGCCCCCAACCTCCGACGTCACTGCGGCAGCCTTTCGGCCTTGAAATTTAGTCGGCGTTGACTGTACTGCTAACTCTACAATATTCGGTTACAGCTCAATATTATTAATTTGCCAGCTCTGCCCACAGAACCATGGCGTGTCAGAGTGCTTTACCCATGAAATGTTAGCTGGTTCGCGCTCGAACCATAATATACTTTTTTTCTCGAATAATGGAAATTCTATGCATGTGAAGATTTGGCGGTTTGTCATTGCCACCTAGATGTTAAGTTTCACTGAGAATTGATGTCAGAGTCCCTGATGAAAGTTACCAGGAAACTGACGTTTCCGACCTAAAGCCCGTGACACAAACCTGTGCCTGTACGCGAAAGTCACCTATCAAACTCTTCAAGAAGTGCTTGACGTCAGAGTAATGAGGTAATGAGCGGATTCTTTTGGTTGAAGCATTTATGGAATAGGACAGGGACGGCTGTGCGTGGACCTGACATTTCTGTTTATGCTGTAAGTGAGTGTATGTCGGCAAAACATGGTGGAACTCACTTAGACTCCCCCCGAAAATTAACTCTTGCGCTCTCGACTGACTCGGACTCCCACTCACCGAGAATTTCCTGAGCCAGACTCACTCGGACTCAAATTCACCAAAATATTACTCACCCAAGCCCACTCTGAGTGTGAATGAGCCCGAGCGAGTCAGCTCACGACTGAGTTCGCCGACCTATGCAAGTGACTATAACCTTTTTTTTTTACGAATAAAAAAGCAGCAGGTGATTTGTAAGAACCCCACGAAGCTTGCTAGCCCAGTCCTCTATACTCCCCGATAGTGGCGTTTAGATGATGTCTTTCGTGCGCTAACTACAATGTTTCTGTTTGCGATTGCAGGAAGCGACGGCGACGACTGGCCAGCGTTGTCCACCAGCCGGACATCGCCTTGCTCGTGCCGCCGCAGCCGACCGAACCGCCGCGCTGGAAGCACGGCTGATCGACGGAACCAGACGAGCCGCGGTCACTGTGGCCGCATACCGCGGAGTCCGGCACCCGGCGACAACCCACGGGACATGCAACTCAAGCAGGCGCGAATGCGCCATCGAGTACGAGCGTTATCAAAATGACGGCGGGCTCTATCAGGGCCGAAATTTCAGAGCGAGCGACGGCTTCGTAGAAGAAGTACTCAAGGCGAATGCCTTTTATGTTGATGTCCAGAGGGAAGAAAGGTCTGACAAGGTGGTGACCTCTGAGAGCTACATTCTTCAAGGAAGACGCTTTGCTAGACGAGAATCTGCAGAGGCAATCTCTGAAGAGAAAGGCTTTCGAAGGAACAAGGTCTTGAAGGACGTGGACTCTTAGCTTGGGTGGGAAAAATTTACTAGAAAATTAGGCGACGAGTGATTTCTTTCAAAGACGAGCCTGATTGCAGACGTCCTCTGAAGGCTGGTTTAGTGGATCGCGGACCGCTTGAAGAGCCTCTTTTAGGGTTTCAAAAGAAAGTTCCTTGAAGGATTTTTGCCTTCAAGGCACATTTTCGGAGACAAGTCGAGGTGTATATTTAGAGAATGCTTGCTTTGAGAAACAGGTCTTTTTAGAGTGATTATAAAATGTCTGCAAGAAGCCGTCGCTAACGGTAGGCGTCCTTCAAGGACACTTCAGTGGTGTCATATTGTTGAATGTCCGCATCCTTTTAGGACAAGCCTTTGCAGTCAGGACATATATTCTACCATGTCCACAAAAAGAATCTCCTGCTAGAGTTACGTCTCCATGAACAAGAATTTGGAGGCAAATCATTGAAAACGGCCTCAATGGGCTGGCGTTTGCCAGCTGGTCTGTGCAAAGTCACGTCATCTGATTAACCTGCAAGGAGCGAATCCTTAAACTATGCATCCTTCTATATCAAGCTCTCGGAGACAAGTTGTTTGAGGGATATATCCTCTAAAGATAAGGTGTAGGAGAAAAAGCTTCTGTAAAGGCCTGTCTTGCGCTAAATGTTGTCAACGCCCGAACAATATCACGCGTTTGAAGTGGAACTTCATAGAGGTCAGGAAGCGTTTGGGGTCAGCCATAGAAGCCAGGCTTCGATATTCACGTCATCACGGCCTCCTCTGTTCTCTGAGGCTTCACAGAGGTTGCGCACCGTGGAGGAGCACGTCAGCTGTCCAAAGTTCAACCACAGCCATGTATTGACGACACAAGTGGCGATACTGACAAACTGGCGCTCGCCTGCCACCTTCAGAAAAGCGCTAATCAAATCGTACGTTTTCAGTGAGTGAAAGAAAGCGCATTCGAACAAAAATGTACAGTTTCCAGTCAAACCGGTGATGTCTGGTCTGAAGTCAGCAATATTTATTTCCTCTCCTTGAACTGCGACATTTATGAATTCCTTTACAAACCACTAAGCCTTTCGTACACACGTAAGCATTTCGCTATTTCGCAAGTATTGTTTCTTCGCTACGACGAATGGGTGACGATGGCGCGGACTATTCGTGCAAGCGATGTTCCACAAAGCATGAAATGACAATCGTTTTCGATACTCCCCTATTGTATGCTGACGATCATAATTAGCTGCACATATATTCTTGAATTTCCACCCTGCCAGAACGGTGTAGCGAAACTCATTTTTCTAGGGTAAGCACTTACCGTTTATATAAATTCATTCGAGATTTATAATCTATTCCACAGAAAGACAGTAATATAAAAAACATTATTAATAAGAAGTCAATGGTGTAATCAAGTGCAGATGGTGAAAGTTGCAAAGTTTCCGATACGCATAGATTGGTAACGTCTAAAGCAGCGTACATTTGTGGCTGCAAGCTCGAGCTATACCTGTCATACAAGGGAAGAACGGTGTAATTAAGTAGTTAATGAGGTACTTGAGAAATTCGCTAGTATGCAATGGTGCTCTTATCGAATTTGTCCCATCTTTCCAACTCGGAGTGTATTTCCTTATCCTAAAACATTGACTATCTAAACGTAGTTTAAGAACAGAAAATATTCATGAGAAGGAAGTTTCTATATTTCTTCGCCTAGCAATGTAAGAATAAGAAGCCTGCTGAAAAAAAGACCTATTGGTAGCATTGCATTTAAAGTTGAGCATATCAATACGATCACTTTAGATAAGTTACCCTCTCTTGAACATTCCCGAATACTCTAGGGTATATCGGTAGGCTGTGCCGGAATACTGTAATGACTATTTCGTCGTGATTGCATTACTTTCTTGTCATACATTATTCACCGATGGTTGGCTGATGGTAGTGATGGCGTAGAAGGTACGCAGCATGCGGTATTAACGATGCGCGCAAAGAAAAATCCAAAGCTGAATCCTTACACCAAACGGTCCCGGCGTAGTTCAAGCTGTCTTGAGCACTCGGACGCAGTTGAGCACAGGTCAGCGAATGCGGAAACTACCGCGTTTCACCATGGAGGAAGAAAAAAAAAGAATTAAGAGGAAGCATTGCTACCAGCCCTGGCATGCGAACGTTCTGTGCGATTCAGGTATGTCGAGTAAACACGCAAGTTTAACCGAAAGCCTTACCTGTCGCCCCAAACGGGAAACTCAACCGGGCGTCCGTCATATCGGCGTCCGCCATCAGCGGCATCATTACGAATCGGGCAAATTATCACCACGTGGTGATGTCACGTATGGACAAAGGTAGTGTCATTGACGTCATGGTATGTAACAAGGATGTCACGTGACGTAACGCGCCATGACGTAGTCTCATGACATTGTAGCTTGGTCAAAGGTAGGGTGACCAAGGAAGGAGGCAGTGCGAAACCAGGCGAGATGGTCGGCAGAGGAAAACTACGTTAGGGGCATAAGACTTTAATTATAGGTTGTCGGGGTAGGATCAATACATAGATTAAAAGAAAAACAAGAGTTTCGCCTTCTTACTGTCTTAGGCTATTGCCCAAGGGATCCTTCGAGCTTTTGCATCAAGATCACGCGAAAAATTATACTTGCCGAGACTTTACGGCTCGATGCCCAGCAGTTTTTTGCCATAGGGGGCTCCAAAACGAAAGAAAACCGGGAGTACTAATGTTTTGATAATGCATTGAGCCTACACAGTAGGCTTCAATCACGTGGCGCAGTGCTTCCTCCCTCACTGTTTCTTTCCTCCATGTGTTCCACCATTATCAGGTCTTCAGCCCATCTTACAGAGCGCAACCACCTGGTGAGCCAATCAGAACGAACAGCATGGCGATTGTCTGACAGTAACGACAAAAAAAATTGCAGTATTCGGCACAGCCTCACCTGACCGCTTATTCTCTCGCTTTTTCCCGCATCGTGTATTGTCCAAATACCCGCATTCGTTTCTTCAGAGTTGCGGAAAACGAATCCAGATGTATATCCAGATGTATAGGCAAAGCCATTCCAGAGAACACTACAATGATACTTCACGCTACCTCTAGTCGATTTGTTCGAGCTCTTTATATATAGATACATGTATTTCAATACACACGTGCAGATCCGTTCATTTTATTCCATCTGTGACACATTGTGACGAAGGGTATGAAAAGATGGAAGCGTATAATATATGGATATAATGCAAGTGTTATGTAGTGCCGCAGGTAGGCGTCGCGAGAGAGCGTTGCCAAGATCACTCAGTAGAACAATAAAACCACTTTGTACTATTGATAGTTCTGTGCATCAGTGTCCTTGTGCTTGGCCAAGTGGCGTGATAACGTACGGCAGCACGGTTTGCAATTGCACCATTGTCAGTCGAATACTCCGCTAAGAATATGCGGGGTATGAGAAACTGTTCATTGAAGTGATCGAAATGGTGCCACGTCTGACTCTTTTTAAGGAGCTATTCGGTTTCAGAACTGCATCCGTCGACTCTGCCTATGCTCGTAATTATACACCGCCAGTGAGTACAGTAACTATGAAAGAGTAGTCAAACATGGCACAATTAGGCCCACAAATTCGCTCGATACCAAGTGGTAAAGTAGTCATGTTTCAACATGATTTGCATGAGCCCTGTTCAAGTCAAATTATTCCTAGTAGGCTCTTTTTTATTGATTTATTCACTTGGAGTAAACGAATAATTATTAATTTGGTTGTAGCAAAAGGGTCCCATATTTCACTTCATTTCAAAAAGTTACTGTGCTCGTCACAATATCCCGCTGGCGAGTACTACGACTCCAGACATAGTAAAATATATCACAAATACAGCCATTTTCACTGGAACCATATATATACCTCACTTTCTTCTTACAGTGTCTCAAATAGGACCCTTTCTTGAACAGAAATGTGAAGAATGGAGGTCCTGTGTACAGTACGTAATGGCTTATAGTTGTCACAAAGACATAAAACACATCAAACCAATCAAAATGAACCTATATTATATTGATGACGTTGTGGCATCGTCTAAATGAATACTTTGTTACCTTTTAATGAGTATAACATAGAACTAGCACTAATTGAGCCATACACTCAGCAGTAACAAGAGATCGAAGGAATGCGATTGAACACCGACATTCTCGTACAAATCTACCTGTATTACAGATTTTGGACAATGTAGATGAAATGAAATGTCCGCCCGCTAATATAAATGCATGCACATCGAGACAAGATCGATGCTTCGCATCAAAAACAACTGTGCCTGGTGAGGACGTTTTCAGAGCCAAGCTCGCGAATAAGTTGCAGTCCCGGAGCTACGGCTCGAATCCAATCCGATATCGAGCATGAGTCCGAGACGGCGCGCGTGGCCAAACGCGCGGCTCACGCGACCGAGTTCATTCCGAGCCATGAGTAGCCGAAGATGGAGCCGTACAGCCAGGTCATCCAGACGCAGGCGCGGCCTCCGGGCGTGAGCAGGAGGTAGCTGACGGTGAACACCACGGCCGCGGACACGAGCTTGCTGTGCACGTGCTCACACGGAACGAACACCGGGTTCTGGAGCTCGGGCGGAGTCTCGTCGGATTCGTAGTACGCGGTGAGCAGCCTGCGTCGCCAGAAGGCTGCTTGAGCGAGCGTAGGATATGCTCAGGAGGACAGACTGATGGCCTAGTTGGTCGTACGCAATTCACGCGATAGCGCAAAGAGCCACACTAATCGGAAACCCACTCTGTATTCTATGTCACTGCTTCACCGTCCATGTGGTTCCTGCGCGATACTCCTTGAAATATGTACTACGTGCATATGGTTAGAGGTTGGGTGAGGGGAGGATGGAACAACTTTCAGGTACGAAGCGTCTCTTGCTCGGACCTATATCTCGCGGCGTCGGCGTCGGCACTCACATTACGCATGCCCAACCTCTTTCCTCTCCTATGCCCTCCCCCCTCTCGCCTCGCAACGCTGGCGCTGGAGCGTCTGCTCAACACCACCAAGAGAAAATTCTTTCCAGTCTCGGTGGCGTTTGTCTGCTAACCTAGCTTCGCTCCCCCCTCTCCTCTTGGCATTACCATAGGGCATTCATACCCGCAGCGTTACACTGTCATTGCGCATGCGCGTTCCCTCCCCCTCCCTTGCCTCTCAACGCCAACACAGGCGGCGTCTGCTAGCGAGTTTATTATTAAAAAAAAAACGACTGCTGCGCTGCGCAACCGTTCACTGGCCAAGGTAGTGCCGGTGAGACATCTCTCCTGCGCGTTGTTGAAAAATAAAAATCTACATCGTGACGTAAACTAAAAGCGGACTGCGGGTATTTGTGTCCTGTGTGTTTAGAAAAACTGTTCAACAATTTGAAGTACTTGGTACTCTACTATGAAAGGGCATAAAGCCGTCCCAGTATAAGGGGAGATAACCGCAACAACTCTGCTAATCGAACTCTTCTGTCTCTCAATCCCCGTCAGCAGCGATTGGCATGATTCAGTAGAAAACATTGGTCCATCACTGCGTGCCTTGCTCCTCCCCTGGTTTCTCTCCTGCGCAACACAGCGATGAGGGCCAGCGTCACCTCATTCACACCGAAGGCGGCACGGCAGAGCGGCGAAGCGGGATTTCCGAAGCGGAAACCCCGCTTCGGAAATGAACTTGTTCAGACCACATGCCTCCCCTTCGTCTGGCTGCGCGGCAGAAGAGGTGAGCATCTCGCGATTTAATGCACGTTCCGCTATGACGTGTCAGTGCTTCTCCCAAACGTACACCCGCACCACCGCCTCGCCTCCGCTGCGTGGTGTTCTGATTGGCTGCGGCAAAGCGGCGAGCCTCGGCAGGCGGCAAAAAATTGCTCCGAGAGGAATCGGCCTTGCTGCCTGGTTTTTCTCCCGCTTTTGCCGCCTGGAGAGGAGGTTTTACCCGCTTCCCACGTTGCCGCTTCGCCGCTTTGGCCACCCCGTCTTCAGTGTGAACGAGCTTTGAGCATTAGCGCCCGCTACTTCACATCTACGCATTGTTTCCTTCAGCGGGCGATGGCATAATTATTTAAATTTGTTGTTTTGACTAGAATAAAGGACGCTACGATCGTTATAAAAGCTTGATTTGCGTCTTCTTTTTTTTTTCGCGACCAAGAAATATTTGGGACATTATGCCTTTCAGTAAAATAGTAAACGAAGCTAGTTGGAAAGCGCAGGGAGCGTTCTGATACTATTCATAATTCTGATGACGCTGCGATAGTAAACGCAATTCAATCGTGAACATCACATACGAAGGCAATATACAGGTATATGGCCAGCGCTCTCAAGCGATATCGCACACTTGCGTTGTGATAAGCGCCATAGTTCTAACATTGGAACGATATTATTTTTATATATCTCAAACTCGCACTCTTCCCACGTGTAATATGAGCAACTAACGAACGGTTCTACTTTGAGGAATCGCATATATTCGAGAGAGTGAGAAGATGAAGATAAAAGTTAAGCCTAACTGCACTTCGTGCTCTTCCTACCCTATTCGTGTGTAGGAGAAAGGGGGTTCTGAGCATACATATTGCAACCAGCAAATGAGGGGAATGTCATGTATCTGTTAACAGTGATCGCAGGATGCTGCATACGCTCGCGACCAAGAACACGACACGTCACACATACTTCAACCGCAATGGTGACTACACGGTATACGATTCACTTGGCACTGCCTTGATGAATTGCATGTTTTTTTTATATGTGGAGTTTCACGTCCCAAAACCACCATGTGATTACGAGAGACGCCGTAGTGGAGGGCTCCGGAAATTTCGACCACCTGGGGTTCTTAACGTGCACCCAAATTGAAGCAAACGGGCCTATAACATTTTCGCCTCCATCGGAAATGCAGCCGCCGCAGCCGGGATTTGATCCCGCGACCTGCGGGTCAGCAGCCGAGTGCCTTAGCCACTAGAATACCACGGCGGGGCTGTAACTTGCATTGAAACATTGCTATGTGGTCGGGGTTGCATAACTGCTGCGGTAGCCGCATTTTCGATGGAGGTGAAAAAATTCTTCTGGTCAGAGTGCTTAGATTTGGGTGCACGTTGAAGAACTCGAGGTAGTGCAGATTTCTGCAGCCCTCCCAGACGACGACCCTCAAAGCCATACCGTAGTTCTGGCACCTAAACGCCACGCAATGTTTTTACCGTCAATAGAACACATCGCAGAGCGCCCAGTGACGAATCGCAAAGAAAAGACCACTGATACGTTCGCTCTCAACTCTGGTTGATACAGTACGACAGAAGGTCGGTTGATACGATGTTTCGAATGATACGGAAAGAGGCGCACTCACTTGTCTTTCTCGTAGAAGGCATCGAAGAGGAACTTTTTGAGTCCGTTGTCATCGCTGGGAAGCTGATCGATGGGCGTCCGTTTGATGTGCATGTGCACCGCACCACACTTGCCGGTGAACATGTCTGCACCACGCATTAACGCGCATGTTTCACAAATGCAACAACGTTGTTTTCGTTGTACGCGAAGAGTAAAATCGACTGCAAGGCGTAGATGCAACGATAATGCGATAAAGAAAGCGTGTCAAATTGCGAAAGGGAAGCGCAACCAGGTACGTTCAGTGCTCTTAAACACGCCTGGTCTCATACTTCGTCTCATGGCTCATCGCTTGCCTCATGTATTTACTTCTTCGCCTTCATGAAAAAAATTTAAAAAATAACCTATTGCGAATCTAAGAAAACATCATTACCGGGGAGGCTGATTTCGGTAACATGCACAAAAAAAAAAAAAGCTGGGGCGCGAAGGAAGTGTGTCGCATGCTACCCACACATGCAAAATATTCATAAGTTTCGGGGCGCTGTGGTACCCGAATATATTGCATTAAAAACAGTAAACCCCAAGATCTGAAAAAAAAGGTCCTGCCTGAAAAGTTGTGTGGAAGAGCCATAAAGAGCCCGTTCTGGAAGCGGGAGAAGCAGTGAATTAAACAACATACTGCACGAGTGCTCTAGCATGTATACGGAGTCCACTCCCTAAAAGGTCTATTTAATTTCTTTTTAGATTATTCGGTGATTTCCAATGACGCTGCTACCATGGTACTCCTAATTACAAAAGCACGACAAGTGGGAAATTTCGCAGTAGCACTCAAGACGCACGGACACAATCGAACGCTGTCCGTGAGTACGTGTCTACCGTGTTCGCCGCAGTCGCGCCGCACGTAACCGACTTGTCACGGTATACCCGTGACTCACCGCAAATGTTGGGCGCGGCCCTGCGGCCCCCGTGGGGCATCTTGGTGCCGCCGTAGATGATGGTGACGCAGTACACGGCGTCCAGGTTGTGGCGCATCTCGTCGACGGTGAGCACGAAACCCCGCGCACGGGGCATCAGTTGGTGTCGGGGTACCGGCAGACCTGTGCAGACAGGTCGGTTGGTTCAAGCTACTTGCAATCAGATGTGTTGAATTAATTACAGCCAAGGTGGTTTAAAAATACTAAACTTCTTTGATTACGGCCACAGCACAACCGGAATCTCACACTAGCGGAAAGAACTAAATAGAATATCTGCGAGGAGTTTTAAGCTGAGTCATGTTGTGCTAATTAAGGTGAAGTTGGTCAAGTTGTGCTAATTAAGGCGAAGGGTCATGACCGCCGTGCTGGAGCAGTGGCTAAAGTGCTTGGATACTGACCAGAAGGTTGCGGGCTCGATCCCGGTGGGGGCGTTCTAAAGAGGTGATATGCCAGAGGCTCATGTACTGTGTCAGCGCACTTCACAGATAGTCGAAATTTCCGAAACCCTCCATTATGGCGTCTCTCATAACCCTATCGTGGTTTTGTGAAGTAAAACTCCAGTTAATATTAATATGTGACGTAAGATATTATTAGATATCGACTTTTCACCTCTGAACCCACCCTCAGTGGCCGAGTAAAAAAAAAATCCTACAACGGTTGCAAAAAAACGGGCTGAAAATAAAGTGATGACTGGCATCTCAAAAAACCCTGTCACTGGTCTTCAGCTTTCTGGGTGTAAAGGGGAAAAGTAAACAATTTTTCGAGTGCAACATCAGGGGCCTTCGGACGCTGTTAACGTCTAAAACCAGCATAGCCGCAAGCCTCTACTTTAATGACGGAAAAGTGCACGATATGACAGCGGACACCTGGGATAGTTTTGAGAAACAAGCTGAACATATTGCGACGGGTATGAGTCGAGCAAAGAAGAAAAAGAAAAAAAAAAGAACGTGGGCTGACGCATTATACTGACGCAATCATTACCCGCCCGCCAACCTCACCCTGTTCATAAATATCTTTCAACTTTAACAGTAACCTTATGCTCCAATAATATGCGCATCTAATGCGAATCTAAAGGTAAAACAGAAACATGAAATCACACCAATTTTTACATCTTATAAAGCGTTTTTCCCCTGAATATTCTTAAAACCGGAAGTAAATGCTCAACCGGAGGTGTGTGGAAGAAGAAAATTGTCACTCGGTGGCACTTGTCTCGCCTGCCTTCCCTTCCGTTATTTACCCCGTGCAAGTTTGATTGATATATTCGCGAGGATTCGGACCGAATATAAAGAACAAACTGAGAGCGACACCCACAAGAAGGGCTTTAGGACTAGCAATTGAAGCACGACTAGGCGAGGGAAGAATACAAGCACTATCATGAAGAAAGATCTCTTTTGATATAAGGGTGGTGACGTAATTTATTGTAGTAAAAACTTAATCCGATGCTGTCTTAAAAACATGTGATAAACGAAGATAATGCATCGGCCTTCTCAGTTTACTGCTATTAAGCTGTATTTTTACTAGCGCCCTTGAAAAAAAAGTAAAGGAATGCGAGGTGCCTATAGGCCACTGCTGAAAAGCAAGCTTGTAGAACGTGGATCCGCTACATGGTATACGCCCCCTCAAGTGCTGTCACGTTTGGCTTCTTTGCGTGGTGTCTGAATATTGGTGGCACGAAATTTGCGCTTAGTGAATAGGCTGTTTTCCGATGTGTGTTACATCCTGAATGAACATTTTCTTTGAAAAACCAAGCCGCTTGAAAACACGGGAAAAGCATCGGATCCAGTGGCCTTCGTGCTAGTGCGGTGACCCAACTGACGATGCACCCGTGCCACGAACCCTGAACTCTTTTTCCGACGACAAATCAACGGGACGCTCGGCGTGGGGATGCAAGGATTATTTAAAGGTATTGATTGGTTGATTGATTGATTTATTGATTGATTTACTTCCTTGCGTCTTCCCATCGCAAAGACTTTCAGAACGCACAGTCACCTCCGCGGTAATTAAGCAAATACGACTGTCGCCTCATCCGTTATGCTCGGGCCATGCTTCATGCACAAGCACCTTTCGTGCACCGCGCAGAAATGTTGCAGTACAAACTGTTTCGAAGTGTTCCAAACAAACAATTCTTTGTTATTAAAAAAATGGTAACACTACATGACTCGGTACATACGGTGACCCGAATCATAAACCTCGATCGTTCTTGTCTGAATGCTAATCAGCTTTTTTTTTTTTAAGTAGCCTTGCCCATACCCATAAGGTGGCGTATGGTTTTTGAAACTTGCTAGTGTTACGGGTACACTTTTCTGCATAGATTTTTTTATATCATAACTTCTCTCCCTGAGTTGCTCTGATGAAGACGTGGGTAATGCAGCTGGCCATTGTTTTTAAAACCTAAATGCGCTAGCGTAAGTTATGGTCATGGAAAAAAATCATCAGCTATTGGTGAAATCATGACGGCGTTACACTTTAGCGTCTCGTATCACTCGTCTCGGCGATTCGTATGATGTTATGCAATTTTTCGCACCATTCGCCTGGGCGCGCACGACTACGACGATGGTCATTTTTATCGTTCGGTGAGGCATAGAATGCTCTTGCCTTAAAGGGACACCAAAGTGAAACATTAAGTCTGTTTACACTGGTGAAAAAATATTGTGAAAGCTCTATAGTCGTTAATATCACCATCATAGTCAATAATAGAAGAGAAAAATCAAGCTCAAAGATAAATGTTTAAACTTCGCGACGAAATTGTCGCTCGTGAGAAAGAGAGAGACGCAAATTCATTAAAAAAAATTACGGCATATTCACGGGGTGAATGATGATGAATGGGCGAAGCTCCGGAGGGATTCATCGGTAAACTGTGAATCTTCCGTGTAATTCACCCAGTCGATCATCATGTAAAGACGTGAGAAACGCTGTGTGTGTATATACACAAATCAACTTTTATTTGTTCTTAGACGATGGATGGCTTGCGATGTCCCTTGCCTCGCGCGCTCGCACATCGGGATTCTGTCTGCGAGCGCGCGCTGCTGCCGCCTTGCGCTCTCTCCGCTGTGCAGCCTTATCCATCCGGCGACTCCGAGCGCGCGCCAACAGCGAACGGATTTTATTACAACGCTCCCCCTAGCGTACGTCGCCGCACTAAATCGAACGATTGCCTTCAACCAATCACACGCGCCATATGTGACATCATTCCTATTTTATAAGATCTCGCGTCTTTCATCAACTACAAGTACCGCTTTCTAGTTTATAACATCTTGCATCTTTTCATCATCAGCTACAAGTACCACCATCTAGTAAACACTACAAGAACTAAACGAGAGGTGGCTACATACAGGAGGCGGTACCGCCATCTAGTGAACACTGCAATAACTAAACTAGAGGTGGCTACATACTGGGGACGGTACCGCCATCTAGTGAACACTGCAAGAACTAAACTAGAGGTGGCTACATACAGGCTACAGGGGACGCACAGCCCACGCCCTAAGGAGCTTCGCCCCTAAAAAAGTCTGGTGTGTTGCTGAGGGATCTGGGCAGATATCCCCGCCTAGGTTTATTTTACATTTTAATCGTAATTTGGCCACCATGGCTGAAGGAACTTTTCTGAAACTTGGTACGATAACGATAGCTGCAAGCAGTGCCAAAAAAAACAACAACACGGACACACAAGGAATACTGATGAGAACGAGTGCTGTGTCTCTGTCTTCTTCATGTGAGTCCGTGTTATTATTTTTTTCGCGCTATTTGCTGCGATGGGTTCATAGTATTCATACCAACGGGCCCAGCTATCTACACTTTAGTATACTGTCTCTGTCGCGCCCAGAGAACAACGAACTTCGGATTGACTGGTCATAAACTACGTAGGGTACTAAACCTACGACGTCGCTAGATCGTTGCGGCTACTTCAATGCGGCGTCTACCACCCGCATTTTTTTTTCGCGCGCTTTCTTGCTTAACGAGCCTTCTTATCGCGTCAAGCCTGATGAGTTCGTCTGCGAAATACAGATATAAAAAAACGGCCCCATTTCTGCACGTTACACTGCAAATATCATCCGTGGAGCTGATGATGTCATCGAAAGACGATAGTCTTGCGTATGGAGGGAGTGAATAAAATATTTATTTGATGTTCTGCGCGAGAAAATCTGTGAATGGAATTACGGAGGCACTGCGCGATACATGATCTTTATACCTGGCAGTAACCTTGTAAAACTTACGAATGACTTCCGATATAGCGAGCGCGTCGCATGTGCGCGCTATCTCGGAGGCTATCATTTGTAGAATGCAAGGCGACGGGTTGGTGCTACTACCATATCGTTTTAGCAAAGCGCTGCAGAAACACCCGCTTTTTTGTACATAGCGTTGCACTGTCAGCACAGCGTAATAAACGCTACGTTCCTTAAAATTAGTTATAAATGCCTAATATAAAATAATTAACACGCCACATATATTGGCGTGTTATGTTGTGCCGCGCAATATACGCGCAATATTCTTTTTAGTCGACAATACACACAAGTATGAACGCCGAAACCAGATCAATATGGGTGGGCGCTTCCAATGTGGTTGGCGTTTAACTGTTTCGATCGACAAACAGACAAGTCTACAGATTAAAATTTTTGTGTCGAAGAATCCCTACAAAAACTGTCGTCTTTAAAAATTACACCATCTCTCACTAGTAAAAACCATGAGTAGCATGTGAAGCAGCGCGTGGGTCGACTTAAAGTTTGGTTCATTACGAGCACCCTTGCCCGAAATGAAAGCATCCTTGCAAGTGGAGCACATCACGAATTCGCTGTGGTTTCTGTCGTTGTTACTCGTCCCGAACTTTTGTTGGAGCACGCCGCAGCACGTGCATTCATCGCGCGTCTGCAGAATCTCGTTCCCCGATGCCGTCACGCGATTTCTGAGATAGTGTAAGGGAGAGAGGCCACAGCCACTTAAGGAAGTCCGAACGCGCTAGCGCATGCCAGCGCGTTCTCACTAGGATACAACGCGTTAGTTCATCGTGCGTCTGCAGAATCTCGTTCGCCGATGGCATAGCATGATTGCTGAGGGAGTGCAACGGGGAGATACCACCGCGTCCTACCCAGCCCTTACACGGGCCGGAACGCGCTAGCACGTGAAATCGTTCAGGCTCTGCTTGGGCCAGCTGTTGTGAAGGTCCACTAAGGGTGGTAGTCTCACCGTACACCACTGGATTGAACTATATCGTTCTAAAAATGGTTTTTCCTTTCAGTGTCCCTTGATAAAAGTGGCCATTTATTGTGTCTTTAAGTGCAACTTACGCATTCTCTATTAGCCGAAGCGCCTCGGAAATCGATAGGTGTACCCACCTTGGCTAACAGCAAACTCCGTGCTTTTTTTGATGACGTCCATTTTGCCGGGAATGAACCGGTTGCCTTCCGGAAAGAGCACCACGCTTGACTGTACGGAATAAAAAGGCGACAGGGCAATTCATTTACACTGGTTGCCACAAAAATACAAATTTGACTACATTTATAAAATACCTAGATGCAAATATTATGGAGTATTAGTGGATACTCCCCACATCATAGAAAAATAATCAACTGGGCATTACAGTTTTCATCAAATAGTTTGACAGCGCTTTATTTACTTTCTGACAAAGTAACACAATACGTGATCTCGTCAAAAACAAAAACGAAAAAAAAAGACTTTACTATGACTTGAAAGCTATCAATGAAGAAAGCTGCAATTTTAGGGCTTGTTTTTTTTTGTAAGACACAATATTATTGAGTTCTTGTTAATACTGCCAGCTATCAATATCTTTCAAAGGTAATATTGGTTTCGCAAGTTCAACACTAGGTTACACTAAAAGATAGTGAAATGCAGGTGCACTATACGGTGTTAAAAGTCTGATTTCATCTTACGATAACACAGCTTTAATGCAGACTGTTATACGGGGAGTAAACGTAGGTTCCATAACCATTTCTTTAATAGACATCACTTTTCGACTTGATATAAAACAATATTTATGTTGTATTATATCCTTGAACAAATAGTAAGGATCTAAAAGGGCATAGTGTTGCGTGATGGCGGACATGCATATTCGCATATTATCCGCACCGGACATCATTAGCTAGTGGTGGCGGGCACCGGCGATACTCTTACCAATGGAACAAATTGACACATGTGTAATACAATTTCACTGCCTCACTACACAAAAGCTTTCGCATACTATTACAGTTTCTCAGGGGAATCCACAGCAGTTTTTTTTATATACTCTAAACTCGCTATAATGAAGTCGTCCGTGATGGTAAAGTAGTTTCGGTATATACGAAAACTCGTTATAAACGACCGTTCGTATACCGTTGCAGAAATTGCAAGAATTTTTCGTTTACTTCGCTATAGCAGATATTTGGTTAGTTCGAGGTTCCTCTGCACTATAATATCGATGCTTAGACAAATATTATGCAAGAACAAAGCGCATGCTTAAACATTTGCCTGAGAAGAACTGAAGGCGAAAGCAACCTGCCATGGTGGTATAGTGTGTATGGTGCATGAATGCTGCCCCAAAGGCTGCGGAATCAAACTCCGGCCGTGGCGGCCTTATTTCGATGGAGGCGAAACACTTGAGGTACGTGTGATTAGATTTGGGTGCACGTTCAAAGAACACCGTCCCGTCAAGATTTTCGAAGACCACTCATACGGCGTCCCTCAAGTTCATTGCTTGGTTCGGGGACGTGTACGTATATGGGAGTTTTCTTCAGATCACGTGGTTTTGTTGAGACTCTTAAATCGGCCCCCCGTTTTGCCCAAGCGATGATGACGGGGAATCGCGTCATCACGTTACCCCACGATGTGTGGAGTCGCGACGATGTCTCAAATTTTGTCAGTGGTGACGTCATGATGATGTCATATGATGACGTCGTCGAATAATGACCCCTTTTCATCAGTCGCATTGACGCTGACGGCCAATTTTTGCATTCGATGAGGCATCTATGGATTTCGCATTAAAAGATTGGCCGCGTATCGGCATGCTTCACTGCAAACGTCGTCGATAGACGATTTTCCTGCCGGCCTTCTTTCGTGCGTGGCGTCGCATTTTCAGCGCAGCCTTGTAAATACTATGCAGGGTTGTTAGAATTATACAGTGCTCAAGCTTTGGCAGGGTGGCTGAATAGTTTTGTTTAGTCTGAACATGTTTAGGCTGAACAGACAGATGGACGGACGGATGGACGGGCGGACAGAGAGACAGGACTGAAGTGCGTGCGTTCAAGCAGCACAAGAAAAGATATCGTCTTCTAAAATGGTTTTGCTAGTGATACCTTCTCGCGCACCCCTCTATTGAACATCTTCCCCCTGTTCCCGCAGGGACCAGCGAAGTTCTCCAAAACGCGAAGCAAGGGCATGTCTTCATACTAATTCTGCACTTTAAAGGAACAGCCGAACAGACTGAAAGAGGGCGGTCGTTCCACTGTAGAGACCGGGTGCCGATTGCGTTATCGATCGACTCATAACTCACTCTATAGGGACTATGAGCTTTAACGTGACGTCGGAATTGCCGGAAGCACTTAAGGATTCGTTCCCTGAGGCGATTAGCTTATCGGCATCACGAACCAGTACACCCGAATGTCGACTCATCGCTTCTGCAGCTTTGCCCTAGTATAGCCGGTGATGAAGTGGCAGGAGCTGCAATCGGAGCCCCGTTACATCGATAGAGCGCAGTGCCAGAGAACGCTTAGATCATTCGCAGGGCCACACCCGCCGCAGGGTGGTCTTCTGGTTATTGTAATCTGCTGCTGACCCAAATGTCGTGGAATAAATGCCGGCCACGGCGGTAGCATTTATGCAGGCGATATGCCCGATGGTCATGTACTGTGTGATGTAAGTGCGAGGTAAAGAACCTCAGGTGGACGGAATTTCCGAAGTCTTTCACTATACGGCGTGACTCTAAGTTCCACCGTATTTTGGTACCTAAAACCCCAACAGCAATTATCACTTGTAAGTTGTGATGTTATTACCAAACGTAACCAGCGAAGAAAACTGCCTACGTCTAAGAAAGAATACACAACAAAAACAATAACGACAAGACAAGGTCAAGAAGTACGAAGATGGAATCAACAGAATTCGTGTTAAGATACAGTAACCCGTTTACTTTTTGTGATATTCGTCAAATCAATGTTGTCGCATACAAAAAAACACTACCTTTCTAGGAACGAATGAACGAAAAATATTAGAGAACGATAGTTGATAATTCCAAACCTTTTCTGTTGCTCTTCGTATCAGGTTTAAATTTCTGTCGGATAAACTAACAACTCATAAGAGTACTTGCTTAGGCGAATTCATTCACTGTTCATTGTTACGTCATTGCGCACCCCTTAAATGACGAACGCTTGGGAGACGAAACACAAGCACAGTGAGCAGGGATGCCGAAAGGTTAACACGGAGACCAACAACGCTTCAAATATGTGCTTAGAAGGCTGGATAGGATTTCATAATTTCTAAATCAAGTTCATAACTCTAGTCTGTCGGTGCCATGTTTTCGAATTAGCACTAATGTTGACACTTGAGGGCTAAAATTAAAAAAAAAATGTTCTCGAGTTGGTTTCTAAACACCAGGAAAGGTATATTGGCTGGAGCCGTTCAAGAAGTTTAATGAAAAAACAGGAAATTCTGTCGAGATGCCTTGCTCAAGTCAACAAATCATAGATTGCGTTTCATTTCAACCCGTAACCTTCGAATGTTCGAGGGTTGTAGGCTTAGATTCCATCATTGAAAAGGGTGATTTTTTTTTTCAATTTCACTTTACGTCGCAATTATTACGCAACAGTAAAAGCAAACAATCGGTGACCCCCGTGCTTTTCCCTGTGTAACTATTAAAGTAATTCAGTTGCATCCAACAGGAAAACGATGCCTTTGTACAATTCCCCCTGTTTAGTTTATTTGTTGAAATGCTTGTGTTCGTTCTGCGCCAATGTTCAGCCTGTTCTTGCTCATCTCGTGTAGCGATAACCTGCACAGCGTAAGTGCCACGCTTAAAGGTATCTCTCACCTGTATGGATTTATTCTGGAGGTAGTAGAGACCTTGCTTCATCTTGAAGTAGTTTAGCTGCTGCCTGTTGATGTAGATACAGCCATGCTGTCCGGGTGCACATGAAAAACAACATAGAAACTTTACTATGGGCATGTGTTTAAAAACAAAAGGCTGGAAGAGAACAATATGTTACAGTACCCACTGAAGTGGTCAATCAGCATTGACATTGAGAAAAGGTGACATGGTTCCTTCGACGCCGAAAGCAATATTTCCTATCTCAGTCGAACGCGTTGTATATTTCACCCACACTACTATAGCTCCGTGAACATCATATTGTGTTGCACCCGCTTATTTCCTACGAAATCAGCCAACTTTTTGACCGAAGTGGCGATGTCATGTCATGACGTCATCATGTTAGGCCATGTTATGATGACGGCATGATGACGTCATCACCGATTCATCGTTGATCGTTCGATTTCTTTTAACCATTGCGTATGACGTCGATGGCATCGAACATAATGTTTTTGGGTTTCATGAGGCATTCCAGGCTTTCGCCTTAAAATAGCTATAGGCACATGACAATCTATAGTTTAGGAGTTCCTACCATAGCGCCACAATACACAGCTAAGCGAGTGGAGTTAGCAAAACCGGGCCTGTCAGAGCAGCGGAATGTTGCGCGGTACGATTTTGTTGTAGTTACTGGGCGCATGTATGTGACTTCACTTGCTGCAGTTTCTTCGTTTATGAAAAAGCGCGCTTTTCAAACGCAGCGAAGTGGCAACTGTGACACTAGTTAGCTTGCGATCATCCTGTGTATACATGTGCGTATGATGAAACTGTGATGGTGAAATTAAAGTAGCCAACCTCCCGTACAGTAACTTTTCAGCTTAAACTGAATGCGTGTTTTTTTTTTCTTGCAAGCTGGCCTCACCGTAACAAGGGCTGCGGTGCAGATAAGCCTGCTTAACCAGTTCTGTCTGCCTTGGACGTGTCTGACTTGTAAGACATTGCAACGTGCGCATGTTAACTGGCTCACGATGAGCAACAGCGAATCACTGCAAGCAATTTCAGCCCATTAATACACAAATAACTCGCTACAAAACAGCCAACCCGGTCATCTATCTTTACCGGTTCAAAGAGCCAGACTAGCTTCGAAACTTGAATTTGATTCTATCACAACTTTCTTTTGGGTGAATTGAATCATGAACAAACGTTTTGGAGCGCAACGCTCTGTAATACACGGACAGCTGCACTTAGTATACATGACGGGCATTGACTTACAACTGATTTACAACTGATATCTGGAAAGGAAAGAAACTATGTGTCTGTATATATGTCTGTGTTTCATGGCGCTATACACGCCAGAGAGTTTGAATTTTGTGTAGACGTTTAATTAATAAAACTTTATAATTACTTTCATCGCAAAGCTGAAAGGCCTTAATTTTGCTACCTTATTCTGTGTTCTTCTTTTCTTGTTTTCACTTTCTTTGGAATGTGTTATTCTTGTCAACTAGTTATTCCTGGTGCGAAAAACGAGTAACACTATTGCTCACTTCGTAGCACTTCCGTTCCAGCCATTTCGTTTTTTTACATATTCAGAAAACATCTAAAAACAAACAAAACAAGTACGAAGTTGATTTCTTGGCATTGAGAGTTGTACTAGTCAACTGTCAGAAGATTTTTTTTCGAAAATTACTTGAATGACTCTATAGCAGAAGTAGCTGGCTTTCTTGAAAGCACCTTAGGGAGCCTTCATGTGCGCACATGGAAGCTCCCCAGAGACTGATGGAGCAGATCTCAACCACTATATTCTTTCTACATGGCCTGGCAGTGCGGCGAAGCACAATGTAACCTCAAAAATATACGAGGCACATGAACGCCGAGGTTTTACTAACACTAACAGACACCCAAGCGGATAATTAGGGTCACCTCCAAATATCTTAATTTTCACGCTGTTTTTCTAAACGTAACGTATCCTTTGTGTCGGGTCATGTTCTGGCGCCATCGTTTGTCTGACCTGGTGGAAGTAGAAGCCGAGCAGTGGAACCGACTGTATGGTCTTCTTGACTATGAAGCGCAGGTTACCCGTGCATCCTGCCCGTTCAGCCAGCAGGCTCACGGCAATCCAGTCGACTGCATCACGCAACACAAATAATGTATTTGCTGCTTGAAAAGAGTGATTCTGGCAGGCCTGAAGTTCTTATTGCGATAAGGATTTTATCGACACTTCAGGCAAATTTTCGTCGTCGTCGCGAGGTTCCGTAATAAGTTTAAGAGAGATGACATTATGCCACGCGTCGCACATTGTATGCGCAAGTGAAAGCGAGTGAGGGCTGCTTTGACTGGCTCTGAAACAGATAAATGCACCGACTAAACTCTTCCCACGCGATAACCCTAATGGGAGTTCCTGTGGAGGAGAAGGGGCTACGTGGCTGCTGCAGGAACTGTGTGCTTTGATAGATCCAGGGCGGTCGCGTGCTCTCTCTTGACAGAGACCAGCAGACAGCTCGTACCTTTGCATGTGCTGTGTTCTCACAGCTTCGTTTGGTTAGAGTGAGAGAGGGCCCGAATTGTGTACACAACACTGACTGCGTACTTTGATCGGGTGGGCAAAGTCGCGTGCCTCCATTTTGGCCGGAATCGAAGGATGACTCATATTTTTGTGCGTGCTATACTCTTGCTGCTCAGTTTGCGTTGACGCGACAGAAAGTGCGAAGGGGTAGCGTCGCTCACTACAGCGGCCGCGTTCCCTAACATCTCTATTTTGTAGAGCTACCCATGGTCGTGCTGAAGAGGTTAGCTGCTGGCCCTGTTTGGTATAATTCGTATACCTTTACTTGCTATCACATTCGTCGCTACGCACTTGCGGTGATACTGAACTTTTCTACTTCAATTATTACTGCAATTACTTCTAAAGAAATGTTGTTTGAAGATGATTCTCACGGCAAACAAAGAAAGCGCACATGTTGGCACAGAAACGCACCTTCGGGGACCATGGCAACACACCTAAATTCTGAGGGCATAATCCAAAAATTTCCGAGTCCTCAAGTGAACACTATTAAGAAAGTTTTCCCAGATGGGCTCCAAAGATGTTTTCATTCTAAATGGGAACAATGCAACGCGAAAATCACATATTCATGCACATGGCAATTATGCAGTTACGTCTCACAGGCAGTACAGGTGCACTGTGCAACTTTCACAGATGGTGGCGTCGCCATGCGGCATCCGTCGTAACTGTCGTTTGGTGGATGCCCACGCGCAGCCAGCCCATGCCATCGTCCAGTCGGCCCCACTTTGGCGGCTCGCTGGTGCTTTATAATTTGTTGCTGGTCATTTCTACTACGGTTATTGTGAAGTCAGAGAGTTATGGCGAGTCGTAGTAGCAATAATTTAATCTTTATTGTTTGCTTACTGAGCTAGAAGAATCACAAAATATGTTGGATGCCGCTGTGCAGACGCCATGCTGTCAAATGCGAGGTTTCCTGCTGTGCACGTTCACGGCCGCTTCCCCGGCAGCGGGACGAGCAGCATTCGCAACGCTTTACACTGCAGCAGACGATCTGCCCGGCATTCTAAACTTCTTTTCCTCCAATATACGCCACACGCGCGTTTCTCAACACGCATTGTGGAATATAATACGTGCTAGAGTCAATGGCCTTCTCAGCAAAGCCTTGACAACATGGTGGCTGCAGCCGAAAATACTACACCGGTCGAAGTGACGGGCACATCGGTGGCGGCTGCCGGTGCGCCGGCTGAACTAGAGAGCGTTCTAGCCTCTGTAGCTGCACGATCCCCCAAATGACAGCCATGTTGGGCTTGCACCAGCGCCCTCTCTAGGCGGTGAAAGTTGCGAATCGGCATTGGTCGTACCACCATTCCCCGCACTCACATGAACTTTGATGGTTGACGATGTAGAAAGCCCGCTCTTTCTTCTGCACAATGTCCCCGATATCTCCGTGGAACAAGACCTGTACACGCAACAAAGCAAACGCATGCATGCATAGTACGTAGGAGCAGCTGACGGAGAACTGTAAATCTTGGTGTTACACAACTGACAATCAGCTTCACGAGCGGTAACAATCAGGAACACTGATGTTCTCGTCCTCTAATTAGTACCACCAGAGGATAGCAACCAGTTGGGCAAAGCACAGTGGAAATCACTGTTCTGAAACATCCGCAGAAATGTTACGCATGCGGATTGAATTTGCAGTAAACGTTCTGCGTCATCTATCCAACAGTGTAATGGTTCTTCCATTGCAGCTGGTCATAACATCTATCTATCTATCTATCTATCTATCTATCTATCTATCTATCTATCTATCTATCTATCTATCTATCTATCTATCTATCTATCTATCTATCTATCTATCTATCTATCTATCTATCTATCTGTCTGTCTGTCTGTCTGTCTGTCTGTCTGTCTGTCTGTCTGTCTGTCTGTCTGTCTGTCTGTCTATCTATCTATCTATCTATCTATCTATCTATCTATCTATCTATCTATCTATCTATCTATCTATCTATCTATCTATCTATCTATCTATCTATCTATCTATCTATCTATCTATCTGTGTGTCTGTCTGTGTGTCTGTCTGTCTGTCTGTCTGTCTGTCTGTCTGTCGCGCCATGTGATCCGCACCTTGACGCCGACAACACCCTCCATGAGCACGATCATGAGCCTCTGGCAGAAGTGGAAGACCATGTCGTCTCCCACCTGGTACACGTGGTGTGGCAGTGCCAGCAGGCCCGTGAGCAGGCGCCACGCGCTCCACACCAGGAACAGTGGTGCCGCCAGTGTCACCAACACGATCACGTGGAATGACAGCTTCCCGATGTCGCAGCTGCAAAGTGTTTGAATACAAGTGAGGCGTAAGAACATGCTCCTGCCATGCGACGTATCAAAGGGAATGGTTGCTGGGCCGCTCACGCCCTTCTTTCGTCGACACTCGTTTAGAAAATGTTTATTTACACTATGTACAATAAACAAAGGTTTCATAACAGTCCAGTAATAGGGCACATACCCTTCGGCACATCTATGTACCATGACCAACATCACTGCGTTGCAATAAAGACATCATTGCTCTAATATACATGACAATGTTGGCGTATACATGATCACAAGAACTCATGCAATGACATTATACAATGAATTGTATAAAGATACAATAGATGCAATCAAATACAATGGGTTGCAAACAAAATTATGAATAACTACTCAACGGGGGCTGCTTAGCATCACGTCGGTCGAAAAATGAGTTTTACCCTTTCGCGTTCAACATTGACGAAAGGGCACGACCAATGCCGCAGAACTCGTGCTCCCCGAAGAAGAAAAGCTCCTCAGAAAAAAACGCGAGGATCTCTTGCCTCATTCAGCCCAGTATCGGCCATAAAGCACGCCGGCGGCAACTCGCAGCCATGGCCTCACGTCGGTTTCGCCAAAGGCTGAACAGCCCCGCAACTATTCAAAGAGCCGATAACCGCCCACGCTGAATTCAGCCACTAGACACGAATATTTGCACACTCTCCCACAAAAACCACCATGGACCGCACACCAAAAAAAAAAAGGCGGAAGGCCACACATTCAATTGTCACATGTCGATTGGTTTCGACCATGACGCAATTGGGGCAAATGGAAGTGCGAACCACCTGCCATCGCTGCATTCGATGTCGAGTGGGGAGCAAGCCCCAGCCCAACCGTCAGAAAAACTCCTCAAAATGTCTTGGCAACACAGCTGCAGTTATTGGTTTCCAAGGGCGGTTCATCATAGATTGACGATGCTGGGGAACCAAGGGCCGTAGCAGGGCGGTCACTGTGTCCACTACTTTAGATTCAGCCACATCTATCTCTGGGCACGTAGCCTCCAATCTTCGATGAAATGCCCGAATGGCTCAATACAAAGATGACAATTCAGTTGATTGGGTACCTTGGTTAATTTGGCTAGCCAGCAGGAAAGTGCGTAGTAATGGCCCCTGATGGTAGTGAGCCAGTGTCTCAGCGGGCGTACCATCGTTTCTCAGAAATCGCAGTAAAGTGCGGAGGCACAAGGTAGAAGCCGTGATGAAAACGTCGGGGAATGCAAAACCACCTCGTTCTCGTGGTTGAGCTAACGCCAGATGAGAAAATAATGCTGTGCCACCAGACCAAAAATTGAACTTATGCAGCTTTGCGCTTTCTTGGAGACGTGGATTGGTGGTTTTACAGAATGGCAAAGGCTACCAAATTTTCGGAGGTTAACCGTTTGATCTAAGTATCGGCGTTCCACGAGGGAGAAGTTGAAGTGTCTGGCTTCTTTTACGTCACTTTGAAGAGTTCGTACAATAGATGACCAGATGCTGTCCTGTACACCAAATACAGTGAAAGTATTGCTTGGTGTTGTAACGTTAGGAGACCACTGTAAAGGCGACGTGATGTTGATACGACCGTTGGGGTTGCCAATAAAAAATACAGGCTTTTAGAAAAGTTTAACCTAACACAGGAGATAATGCCGAAATGATGAAAAGTATCAAGAGCATGCTACAGCAATTGTTCATTAAGGAACATATAGAGTAATATCATCTGCATATGCAGTGACCTTTACTGAGTGTTACCAGGAAGGGTTAAGCCTCGAATGTGAAGGTCATGTTCAACGGCTATCAAGAAGGGGTCAAATGAAAGGTTGAATCCCCAAGCGCTACTTCAAAGAAGTGACTCTCACGGAAATCTATGTAAAGTTTACTCTCTGAATCAGTGTACATCGCGTGGTATAGTCATTGAACTTATTCGGAAATCTCCGATACATGTAAAGCATTTAGTAAGTAGCCATGTTTATGAAAACAAAAGATTTCTCCTGATATAAGAAACCAACAGTCCTTGTGCACATCAGCTAGTGGTGTATGAATGACGTCTCACGTTAACCACGTATGGGTGTGCATTTCTCGGCCCGGAGAGGAACATACTTCGTAGGGAAGCGATTAATGGTGCAAGAGACGGATCCAATTCGGCGCACCAGAATGTTGGCCGAGAGCTTGTAATCTACATTAAGCAAGGTAATATGGCGCCAATCTTCTGGTCGCGTGAACATTTGGTCTTTCTTGGGCACTAGTGTTGTACGACCTCTGTGGAAAGTGGTTAGAAGGGTAATATCTCGGAAACACCTGCGAATGACCCGTGACCTAAATGGACCAATGATAGGCCAGAACGGTACGTAAAACTCTGCAAGGAGTCCGTCAGGCCCGGGGCCCAAGCCCTTCTTCATTTCGCCCAATGCACCCTTTATTTCGTCGTCGGATGGCAGTGATAGCAGAACGTGGTATGACAAATTGGAATCATGTGGTAAGTCTTTCGACAGGAGATGCGAAGCAAGAGATCCTGGGTAACTGACACCAGCAACAGACTGAACCATTGTCTGAAATTGTGGAGTGAACGTCTCAAAGTCACGTGTACCCGCAGCAGCTGGTACGGTAAAGTTTAGTGAGTGAGAAGGCGAGCCAGGTGGGCAAAGCAGAGCTCTGCGTGCATACCTTAGCACCTAAGGGTGCGCCAACGTTGCGCGTCTACAGCGCTGAACTGCAGCGGGGAGCGAAGACGTGGGCATAGTACGTTGGTATCGTTCAACGAGTTCCCCTTGCCATGCCCGCAGAACGGGTGAAGGGCTGGGATCACGGTAGGCAATGCGTATTTTTCGGATTAACAAGGGAGCATCTTTGGACATACGGGCGTGAAGTCCCCTGCCCGACGCACTCCAATGGGGACGCCACTGTTCTTTGAGGCGACCCCAATCATCTATATCACCACCAATGAACGATGCGCGTAACGCACTGGACAATTTTTTCGAAGACTGAGAGTCTTCGAAAACGCGGCAATCGAGACGCCACGATTTGTGAATTGTCGGCGTCCCCGCTGGCAGGCGGAAAGAGAGCATAACCGGGCGGTGGTCACTAATGTACACTGGTGTCGGTGGCAATGACATTACCCCACTGTCGCGAACGTAGGCAGCAAGACAGGGGCATGCGTATACACAATCAATTCTGCTGCTCGACGCTGCTCGCTGCCAAGCGTAGGCATAATTGCTACCATGTACACTTGCATATATGTCAGTCAATGCCAATTGCTGCACTAGACGCTCAAGCTCTCTGGTGTTCCAGTTTGGCCGGCCATGACCCGGACCTCGAATATCTGCGTGCGAGTCTAAGACGCAATTAATGTCCCCTAAGAGTACCATATGTGGTGACCTTCACGACAAAAAGTGCTAGACTTTACAGACGCCGCTGGGGCGTACACACCGACAAATAGTATGCGCAACGAAAAGAAGCTGCAGTCGAACGCCAGGACGCGTCCGATGGAAAGAAACATGATCACGCAAAATACCGGTTAAATATAATAAGTCCGACGCCAGTTGAATGCGTGCTGGCGTACGAAAAGAAACAATCCACACCGAACGCGCGTTTGAAAGCGAGTACATAAGAGAGCTTAAAAAATAGTTTCTTGCATGAACAGTAAATCACACGACACTGAACGCACGAAATGCAATACTTCAGCCTCTTATTTGTGGGTTGCAGGAACCCTGAACGTTAGAACCTTTAATGTTAGAGCCATGGCGAAAAGTAAAATTCAATATGAATACACTGAAACGCTGAGGCTCCTTTAGCAGACGCGGGAGTGGGTGCCCCGCAAGCAGCTCAGTAATTTTTTACGGCCAGTTTTTACGGCCAGGCGACCACGGAGCTTCCGGGGCCGCGATGAAGTCCGCAGGGGACTTCTGTCTCTGCAGAGGGCTTCCGCATCATTGCTAGATACTCTGAGGCGTTTGGTGCCAGGGCTCTTGAGTGAGGACGGAACAAAGGAATCTAAACTGTCCTGGCTTACGTCGCTGGGGCTGGCGTCTTCATCGATCTGTAGTGTCGTCTCACTCGCGGCGCTGCTCGACTCCTCAGTGATGGAGACCTCGTCGCCTTGGGATGGGGGCTAGCTCCTCGATGACGTGTTGACTTCCGCTTATTTCTGCAGTTATAGGATCAGCGGCAGATGTAGAATCTCCTTCTGTGGCGAATTCCCCAAGACGCGCTTTTTCGGGTTCTATGCCATCGATTGGGAGTACTATTTTGTTATATACGTTGTTGATGATACAGGGGAAGCTTGTGGAATGACGACATGCGTGTGATGTATTATTAGGTTCACTTTGAAATAAATTTTCAGTTGCAGTAAGCGCTGTCTTGTCCTCTCTGAGTGTGTGTATTCTTAGCGTTGTTTCATCATGACCTACCAACACGCCACAAACTGGGCAGTCATCCGTGGTATGTTGTCATGTTCTTACATGATAGGCATGTCAGAATTATCATGTTGCACCAGCCATAATTTCGTCATCCATTGAGGACACATAACACCAAATCTGGTGTATATGTGGAGCTAGCAAAACGGCCGCGAGCGCATCGTGAAGGGCCCAATATACTCCAATGTAGCCTTGACGCGTGACCACGATTGGCACAGCGACGCTACGTTAGCAAAACGCGACGACTCTCTAGTCTGAAGCCAGGTGCTACCGGTGCGACCAGCGTCCGTCCGCGCGGCCCGACGGCAACCGGCGCGAAATGCGACATGGTGCATTTCGCTCCCATGCGTTACCCAGACAACACTGCGTCTCCCTCGTTTCGTGACGTAGGGACGCCGGACGCGCTGAAACACGCATGTGTCACAGCAAAGCAGTGCGGCGCACGCCAGCGATTATTTGGCAGAACTGGAGCCTGGCGTGGCAACGCCGGCGTGACCCGACGGAATCACGCTGGCGAGCACGCGCACCGCGTCACGTCGAAATGTATTGGAACCTTGACTGTGGCAAATAGTCATGACACGCATCGCATGATTATCATATTTGCACCAGTATCATGCATTCGTCATCTATTCACGTGCTGTAATACCAAATTTGGTAAAAGCGAAGCTAGCGGAATGGCCACCGGCGCATCATGAGCGTGGCATGTAGTCATGTTGTTACATGTCACGCATCTCGTGATTAATAGAGAGTTTTAGTACTGCGTACGCTGCGTACGTGGCGGCGTTGCGTACGTAAGGACGCCACGTTTTGCGTAGTGCGCATGCGCAGACCGCAACGCCCACGTATCGCGTTACGTACGCAGCTGCTACGTACGCACGCATCAGATGCGTGTGTGCGTACGCATGCGGTGATCGCGCCGCTCTCGAACAAGTTCGTGACAGCGCGAGACTTAGTTTTGCAAAATGGCGGCATCTAAGGCAAGCACCGACCGGCTATGTGGCTTAAAATATGGCCATGATGTGGCTATTACACTTGAATTGGCTCACATTGGCTGTTGACAACACGTGCTTCTATTTTGATCTACCAGATGGCGCAACACGCTTCACGCTCGTTACGTACGCGGGTACTACGGCGTACTAAAAGCCGATTAGTGGCAAGCGACGCCACGTAACGCAAGGCGCTTGCGTGATGCGTACGTAGCACCATTCCGCAGTACTAAAACTCTCTATTATCTGTGCACCAGTCACATTCCTTCGTCATTCATTCACATACTGTAATACCTAATTTGGTAAATGTGACGCTAGCGAAACGCCCGCGAGCGCATCATGAGCTGACATGTGTGTCATGTTGTTACATGACACGCATGTCATGAGACAATCATGTCATACCATACCAGTTTTGCATCATGCCTTGTGAACGAAACCACCACAAGAGCTGCAGAACCATGAAATGTAAATCACATTCATGACATCTATGTCATGGTTTTCGTGTTATGACTTGTCAAATATGTGCATCATACAGTCATGTCATGTCATACCAAGTTTGGTATCGATACCATTATCGAAACGGCCAGGAGAGCTAAAAGTCGTAGATAGATAGATAGATAGATAGATAGATAGATAGATAGATAGATAGATAGATAGATAGATAGATAGATAGATAGATAGATAGATAGATAGATAGATAGATAGATAGATAGATAGATAGATAGATAGATAGATAGATAGATAGATAGATAGATAGATAGATAGATAGATAGATAGATAGATAGATAGATACGCTCAAAGTCACCGAAGTTTGCTAAGAAGTGCTTCGCATTTAAAACCACGAACACCAGCTGCACAGGTCAGTTGATACAAGCTACGCAATGCAGAATACTGCTTACTCTAATATAAGAAAGCAGTAGGCCGTTCGGCCACCATCTTACAAAATCATAGCGGTGTTTAGAAAAAAGGGTTGACAATATAAAGTACTGTGTATTCAAAGTACTACCATGGCCTCTGGGATGGCGGGTGCACGGCGTGTTTCTCTCTGACCGTCCCAATCGCAGGGAGAAGGCGTATTTGCGGAGGGTGGCGTGGCTCGCTCTTTTCTCCGCACCACGGCGCTCTCAAGAAGGATCGTAAAGGCTTCCATGCTGTTGGCGTAGTTTGTACGTGGCGAGAGTAAAAAAAAATGGTTTCACGGTTTTGATTATACGTCTCAGCATTGACTTTGCCTCGGTACACCTAGACCTGACATGTACAAATCACCTCGTGCTTATTTGGAAATGTCGGGTCAGGGTATACGAGAGGCCAAGTCAATGCTGGGACGTATATACTCTGAAACGAGCTTTTTTTTTTTGCTGTAGGCTTGCACTGCACTTATAAGTGCGATGCCTCTACAAGGGATCCGCAAGTGCTGGAAACTTACCATACTTCGAAGTTCGGGCTGTATAGTTTTAAGGACACTGGAGAAGAAGAAAAAAAATGACAGCCTGATTTGCAAGGGAAGTCCGAAGAGTGCCCTGTACTACTCTCACGAGTTACACTGGTTTGACTGAGTGGGGTCCTTTTTCTTTCCTTGCATGAAACTAGCACTGCTTTTCATTGTAATGCCTGTTGCAAATAAAGGAGAAAGAAGGAGCGGCGGGCACGGGCATGAGCCAGGAGCACTGGCTCACTGAGTTGATCGCTTGACTTTCAACGCAGCCAGACTATCAGGTCTGGGTCCCCTTCTTCGTTGCTCTCACTTCGTCCTGGTGCTGAAACTCACCCGGTCGTCTGGTCCTCGACCCTCGTCCATAGATCAACTAATCACCAAGCACCACTTCGTCCGAAAATCCATTACGCAACACATCTTATCACTCGATAATTTGCTGGAAGACTCGTCCACCCCTCTTGAGAAAAAGATGTACTCGACTTCATCGTCACGATGAACGCTAAACTCATGGACTTGAACAAGGATATCCAAGCTGCTCTTCAGTATGAAGAGTTTTTAGCAGACCTGAACACCACCAGTGAGTTCGAGGACAAAGCCGTGCAACCAAGCTGTGGCCACCAACCCAACCCATATCTGTCACAGTCACATCCACCCAACTTGGTAAGCCTCTCGCGTACACATCGCCGCCAGCCGCGACGTCGTCTTCGATCAGCCTTCGACCTCCCTCGCCACGACATCGAAGCAGGCAGCTACTTCGTCTTCATCTGGTCTGCCGACTCCTCTCACTTCAACGTCGCAGCAAGCCGAGACTCCACAGTCAACCGCCCTCATGACCCCTCCCGTCTCTACGTCATACCAGACTGCACCTTCGCCTTCGTCCGGTCTGTCAACTCCTTTCTCTTTGACGTCACAGCAGGCCGCGATTTCGCTGTTCACCAGCCTCACGACTCCTCTCGTCTTGTCGTCTCAGTGGACCGCGACGTTAACTTCTCACGGCTTCCCGACTGCAACCCCAGTATCTCGCAAAGGACTAACCTAGGCTACGCAGTTTGTCACGCACAAACTTACAGACAACTTACCTCGAACCCATCCCCACCAGTTGAAGAGTTTCGGGGACACGCTGGAAAAAACTGTCAATGTCCACTAGATCCACGATACTAGAGTGCAAGCACTCGTTCGGAAGGTGCGCCATGGAGATTACGATGGCCAAGGGAAACCCCGGGCGCACCAAGTGCATCGATTACAAAGACATGGTTTCTCACGGCCTGAACCACAGCTTGCTAAAGCATTCCTACTCCCCAGACCTAAAGGACAATTACATGTACTATCCGTCATGCGGCACAATGTACCCCCAGGACTAGCTTCATGGAGAACAACACGCGGAGCCCTACATCTCGTCCTGCATGCGCCTCAAGCCCGATCCTGATGGTAGGGTCTCGCGTCTATCTTGCTCTAAGTCCAAGCAAGTTAACGATCGGTACAGTAAGCAGGAGTGCTACTACGAGCCACATTCAGTTAAGTACGTGCACACCAGTGCCACTTGCGACACCGACGATCATCACAAGAAGATGGCACCTGGCGCCAGAGACGTTCGCTGGATGTGTGATTGTCGCACTGCACAGCTGCAGTACTATGGTATGTGCATCACGCAGAAAACCGGCGGCAACGAGGACTCTCGCGAAGCGGGACACACTGTGATCGACAAGCCATTGGGAGACTCCTGCAGTGATGCCACCAAATACGCCTCCATGGCTGAGAATCTCGTACTCGTAAACGCCAGCTCATTGCGCGCGATCATCCACGATGCCGTTACAGACACCGACAATGTGTTACCAGCAACAGCGCACGTAGACGAACCTCTCCTGCCCTCGAAAGCGACCGAGATTCCCGCCCTCGTCACTGCCCGACGCAACCAAAATCCTTTTATATCATCGTGGTCCTCGTCAAACGAAGAAAAATTGTCATCGACCTTGAATTTTTCATTCAGATCAGAAGCACCTGCCAGCCTGGCACATGATCAGGACCACCTGACACCTGAAGTGCTCAAACGGAGCATATTCTCCCAGCACCTGCAGAGGTTGACATGAAACGCCAACAACTCAAAGATGACGCTGATTTTTTGGAAGCCTCCTTCAGAGTCTACAAAAGCAGGCCGAAAGCGGACTCTTCCTACTACAAGCGGCGCAAGAAGTGCGAAAGTCAACAGCATGAACTGCAGATGGCAAACAACGTGAACAGGAATTTATCTGTACACTACAGCGAGCATGAATGATCTCCTCCGCAAGACAAGCCACCGCTTCCCCAAGCTCAGTCATTGGCAAAACCCATCCGTCACTGCGTAAGACCTCCTGGCAGACTCACTGAAAACATTCGTCGAACCCGCGCAACTTTGCTGACCATGGGAGTGTGTTGCACATAAAACATAAATGGCAGCATATCTACGGAGTGAATAATGAAGAGTGGGGCGAAGCATCCGTCTGTCCAAGCGCCCGTCTGTGTGACCGTCCGTGCGTGCGTGCGTTCGTGCGTCCGCACGTCCATCTGTGCGCCCGTCCCTGCGTTCATCCATGCATCCGCCCCTGCGTCCGTCCATGAGTCCATCCGTCGGTGCAGCCATCCGTGAGTCCGTGCATGCATCTGTCTGTGTGTCCGTTCGTCCATCTATTCAACACTCCAAGTACCACCATCTCGCATATTTTCATCATATATTCCGCATATGCACCGCCATCAAGCGGACATTCCAAGGACTAAATAAGAGGTGGCACAAACACACTTTCTTACGGCTTGCGCTTAGTGTCTCTACTTCCCACCTCCAAGGTTTATACTAGTTCACTGTATTCATGGCACTGCGGCCCAACGCTCGCTAAACATTTCTGCTCGGTTATACTCGCTGGGCATAAGCAAGGAGGTTATACCCAGCGAGTATAACGTAGCAACCCCTTCTTGTCAGATAATGCTCAATGCACATGCCAATGGCTAAGGGGGAATGAGAGACAGGATAATTCTGCTTTTAGTTAACGCGCACGCTGCTATTTTTTTATTGTTCAACAACGCACAGAAGAAATCTCTCACCAGTGCCACCTTGGAGGTCAAAATGTAAGACTGGTTACACACTACGACTACTACTACGACTACGAGGGACGAACGGGTGCCGCTTTAAGGAGCTTCGCCCCTAAAAAAGAAAGAAGGGGCGGCGGGCACGGGCATGAGTCAGGGGTGCTGGCTCGATCAGTTGATCCCTTCACCTTCAGCGCATCTAGGTGATCGGGTCCGGGTCGCCATCTTCGTTTCTTATAATACCGTTTCGAGAATTCTTGCAGACGCACTGATGTTCTCACGGCGGCGCAGTGGTCAAATTGTGAATAGGCGCCCACTTGCACTGTAAGTTTTACAGAGTTCAGTGGATATGCTGGACAATGTAACAACGAACATCGACATGCTTGTTAAAGAAGAACGCAGCGCGCGTTCACACTTTGGTGTATCTGGTATGAAACACTCGGCTTTACATAGCAGTGGCACTGCGCACTTTTTCTTTCTTCAGTAGTCCACCGGCACGAATATTTAGTTTTCTTCGGAAAGACACCCTTCTGCCGCATATGGGATCCTTAATGTTTTGATGCAGTCGAGAGTACGGTGAATGAACATGATACTGATACTATCATTGTGCTACTAAAACGGAATCAAAACACACAGGACAAAAGGGGAGACGATCGCAACTCAGGAAATTTCTCTGTGAAAGACGTGGGAGTAAATGAAGGTCGGCTAACGGAAGCCTTCCGCAATATTCCGGTAAAATTTCTTATAACCTTATTTCATTGATATAACCAGGACACTCCTTTATTTAGATTGTAACTGTGCTTCGGTCGATCGTCATATAATTATTCGTACGTCATAAAATGGTAAAACGATGTGCTATGATAGAATAGAACTGTGATTGAACGGCAATAATTAGACCAGTTTTCACCTATACACACCTCCCGAAAGGAGGAATGCCAGAGTTCATCTATAAATCTCCAATCGAGGTATTTAGTTCTGAGACAAAAGAGGCCGTAATGAAAAAAAGTAATTCGGCCACACACGAATTCATACCTCCTTGAAATGACGTACATCAGGAAAATTCAGCAGTTGCAAAATAAATGCAGTAAGAACAAAAAAATACTTGTCTTCACTGCAGCGAGAAATTCTCGCGGTGATCCTTGCTCGTACGCGAAAAAAAAAAAACACGTGCACGTTGTAATCTTGTGGGCTTTGCTTCATGCCGCGGTCTCCGTCACCGCCATAACCCACCCACACTGAATGTGCCCTCTCGCGGTAGCCGGGTGCACGAACCGATACTCGTTGGTTTATCTGGGGAGGGCGTCGATCTGGGCGGCCGGAGAGAAACCAGCCGCGCGCGCGCCCGCCATCTCGGAGGTCATAGTACTATTAAGGGAGACCATACAGCGCTTAAAGTAAGTGGTTAACAATTTAAAGTACTTAGCACTCTACCATGGGAGAGCATAAAGCCGTCCCATAGGTATCACATTCGAGGTCGCGCACATATGTTTAGAGTGTTTAATTATTTAGAGTACTTGGTCGTCTACTATGGGAGAGCAAAAAGCCGTCCCGAGAGCAAAAAATTGCCCGCAGCTTCCCTAGGGAGAACACTGAGGAGGATGCGGAGCATATAATTGGTTAACGGGGTGTTAAAGTGCGACTTACTTGGGTCGATGGCTAAATTGGTTAACGTGGTTGTGAAATGGGGTGTTAAATTGCGACTTACTTGGGTCGATGGCTAAATTGGTTAACGTGGTTGTACGAGGGGGTGTTAAATGAGTGAACACGTACACACGTATGCGAAAGGGCGGTGCTGGTCGAAGGGACGTCGATCATTGTGTTTGTGGATTCGTTGGAATTCATTTCACCGCGACCTTGGACGTCGACGCGCCGTACAAACCAACCGACGAGCGGCAACTGAGCGAGCGAGCGCCGACCTTGAGTATATATACAGCTCGACGGCGCATGCACTGTCAGCTGTTGAATGTTCTCGAAGCGCGACGCCACATGCGCGTCCACTGGAGAATCAGGAGAATTGTAGATGTCGAACGCGTTGTGTAGAGGAGGAAGGGTGCACAGATGGTGGAGGAGTGAAGCACGCGCGGTGTGTAGAGGAGGAAGGGATGCACAGATGGTGGAAGAGTGGGCGACGGCGCGACGGCGCATGCGCGCGCGTCAGCTGTCGAATGTTCGAGAAGCGGTGCGGACGGCGCGGACGGCGCGGACGGCGCACTACAAGGCGCGAGTATAAGATGCTTCCGCATCTAATAAGCTGTGCCAGTGGCAAGAAGACGACTAATTACTGTCTTCGTGTTTTTAGAAAAAGT